ACACCCTGACTGTGATAGAGACCCGTCACCGCTCCATCGCCCAGGCGAGCGGTGTCGTGCCTGTCCCTATCTTTCAGGGCTGTGCCCCCGCCCAATGTACCTTCTCCGACGGCTCTGTCGCAGTGGCTGAGACTGCTGCTGCTGCGCAGTTTCGTTCGGGGAAGGGCCGCCGCCCCAAGGTTGGGCGCGGCGGAGGCGGAGGCGGGGGTGCGGGAGGGGGTAGTGGTGGGGTCGGGTCGTCTGGTGCTGGAGCGGACGAGAGGACCCTGCCCAGTTCAGCAGAGCCGCCGCCCCTGCAGTTGCAGCAGCCGCAGCAGCCGCCGTAGTCGCAGCCTTCGCAACAGCCGCAGCAGCCGTCGCAGACGCGGCAGACGAGTGTCCTCCCCCCCGGGTGGCCTGGCGCTGGCGGTGGCTGGGCGCGTGGTGGTGTGTCGAGTGGTGGCTCTGGCGGCGGGCGCTGTCAGTACCAGATCCAGACTGGTCCTCGCCGCGGCTTCGTTTGCGGTAAGATCGGTCACTCCACTCCCCGCTGTTTTCGTCGCCTGGACGACCTCTTTCGTCAGTGCTTCGGCCCGTTGCCAGACCTCCCGGACAGGCACAGTTTGCTTAGTCGTAAGATTCAGATCTTTGATATGGACATGGATGCCATTGTTTCTGCTCTGCATGTGATGTATGCTGATGACTCTAGTGTGCTTCCAGCTTATTACTCACTGTTGCCTAGTGTAGGTGTGCCTAGCTTAGCCTCCCCTGCTGCGTCAGGCGTAGGATCCCCTGCTTTGTGTAGTCTTGGTGCTTCCGCCGTCGTTCCGTCGCCAGACGCCTCTGCTTCGCTTTCCTTCACCTTGGACTCTGGCGCTTCTCGGTGTTTCTTCCGCGACTCCACCACCCTGACGCCGCTTCCCGTCCCTGCTGCCGTTTCTCTCGCTGACCCCTCTGGCGGTCCGGTCGTCGCCCGCAGTTCCACCACCCTTCCCTGTCCGGCGGTTCCTTCAGGCTCTCTTACAGGCCTGCATATCCCCTCGTTCTCCAGGAACCTAGTTGGTGTCGGCTGCCTCCAGGACCTTGGCGTCACCACTACGTTCCCTGGTCACGAGCGGTATGTTGTCTGTACCGAGGCCGCCACTGGTGCCCCCCTGTCCACGTTCCCCCGGGACCCGGTGTCCGGCCTGTTCACTCTGGACACCGTGACCCCCCCGGCTGGAGCGCTCACCCAGGTTGCTGCTGCCTGCTCTTGTCAGTCTCTCCCTCACCCGACCCTCCTTTGGCACCACCGCCTAGGTCACCCTGCGCTCCCGCGTCTGCGTCACATGTCCCAGCACAGTCTTGTCCTTGGTCTCCCAGGTTCTCTCCCTGCGTTTCCCTCCTCCCCAGCCCCACCTTGCACGCCTTGCGTCGAGGGTCGGCTTCGCCGTGCCCCTCACTCCTCCTCGTTTCCCCCTACCGCCGCGCCGCTGCAGACCCTGCACCTGGACGTCTGGGGCCCCGCCCCCGTCCCTGGGCCGCGTCGAGAGCGCTACTTCCTTGTGCTTGTCGACGACTTCACTCGTTACACCACAGTCTTTCCCCTAGAGCGCAAGGCTGCCGTGCCTGGCGCTCTCATCCCTTGGCTTGTCTCTGCGCGTGTCCACCGCGGTCTCCCTGTCTTGCGTCTCCACTCAGACCGTGGTGGCGAGTTTGCCTCCGGTGTCCTTGGTCGCTTTTGTCGTGCGGAGGGCATCACCCAGACGTTCACCCTACCGGACTCCCCACAGCAGAATGGGGTCGCTGAGCGACGCATCGGTTTGGTCATGGAGGTGGCTCGCACCTCCATGATCCATGCCGGTGCACCCCATTTTCTGTGGCCGTTCGCTGTGCGCTACGCTTCTCACCAGCTTAACCTGTGGCCGCACCCTCAGCAGCCGCAGGTTTCGCCGACCCGTCTGTGGACTGGGTCTCCTGGTGACGCGTCTGCGTTCCACGTCTGGGGCTGCCTTGCTCACGTTCGTGCCTCCGGCACGGACAAGCTCACTGCCCGCACCCTTCCCTGCGTCTTCCTCGGTTTTCCCCTTGACGCGTCCGACTGGCACTTTTACCACCCGCCGTCTCACCGCTTCTTTCACTCTCGTGACGTCACCTTTGACGAGTCCGTCTCCTACTACCGTCGCTTCCCCCACCGTGGTCCCCCGGTTAACCCCCCCCCTGTTCCTGGTCCCTCCTTCCCCGGTAGTCCCTGCCCCTCCTCCCCCTCCTCCCCGTCCCGCCCCCTCTGGTGTGTCCCACGTCACCCCCCTTCCGTCCGTGGACCCGGTTGAGGAGTCGTCTGCCTCTGGTGGCCCTCCTGTGCAGTCCTCGCCAGCCGCCCCTCCCCTGGCGTCCCCTCCCCAGTCCCCTCCTCCACCGCCACTGCCGTTGCTGCAGCCGTCGTCGTCGCCGCCGCCGCCGCCGCCGCCGTCGCAGCACCCGTCCGCTGACTCTGGGGGTGCTCGTCCAGGTCGCCCTGGGGGTGGTCCCTCTGGGGGTGCTGGTGTGGAGAGTGCCGGGGGTAGCCGAGGAGCAGCTTGCGGTCCCGGTGTCGGCGTTGTGCCGCCGCAGCAGCAGTCCCCGCCGGTGTCAGCCCTTCGCCTGTTCGGCCTGCCGTCCCCCGACCCTGCGTCGGTTCCTCCCCGACCGTCTCCTCCTCTTCCTGTCTACGGCCCTGTTTTCCCTCCGCCGGACTCGTCCCCGGCCCGTCTCCCCCCTGCCTCGCCTGTCCTGCGCTCCCACCCTATGTTGCTTCGTTCCCACGAGTCTCGTCCTCCCCTTCTGCCGTCGCCTCCTCCGTCCTCCCTTGTTGTTGCACCCCCCCCGCTGTCTGACTACCTTCGTGCCGCTCGTCCTCTTGTTCCTCGCGTCCTTGCCTCCCTCGTTACCGACCCGTCTGTTCCGGCCTCGTGCCTTGACGCCCTTGTTGCTGCTGTCGCTGACTTCGCCTCTACCCGCCGCCTCGACTACGCCTCCGCTCTGGTCTCTGACCCTGCCTGTCCTCCGTCTGTCGGGGGTGCTCCTGCCCTTGGCAGTGACGTCGTGGAGGACCGCCAGTTCGAGCTTGCTTTCCTCTCCGAGGCTGCTCCCCATCTCTGTTCCATGCTGCTAGTCCCTGAGGGTGACCCAGACGCTTTTGACATCCCGACCCCTCGCACTTACGCTGAGGCGACCTCGGGACCCTGGGCCTCGCAGTGGATAGCTGCCATGGAGCAGGAGATGGCATCTTGGAGATCCACCGGCACCTTCGTCGACGCAGTTCCCCCACCTGGGGTGAACGTAGTCGATGGCCGCTGGCTCTTCAAGGTGAAGCGCCCTCCTGGGCCGGTCTTCAAGGCGCGCTATGTGGCTAGAGGCTTCAGTCAGCGCGAGGGGGTGGACTTCTTCCAAACCTTCGCTCTGACCCCGAAGATGACTACTCTTCGGGTTCTGTTACACCTAGCGGCTCAGCGTGACTACGAGCTTCACTCCCTCGACTTCTCCACAGCCTTCCTTGAGGGCAGCCTACACGAGCAGGTCTACCTGCGTCGCCCTCCGAGCTTTACTGGCACCTTCCCTCCTCGTACCCAGTGGCTCCTTCGGCGCCCCGTGTACGGCCTGCGCCAGGCTCCTCGTGAGTGGCACGACACTCTTCGTGCTACCCTTGCTGACCTGCAGTTCTTTCCGTCTTCCGCAGACCCTTCACTCTTCGTTCGTGCTGGCCAGACTCCGTTCTACATCCTTGTTTACGTCGACGACCTGGACTTTGCCACAGCAGACAGGGACGCACTGGCCTCCGTGAAGGCAGAGCTTCTGAAGAGACACACGTGCACTGACCTTGGAGAACTGCGCCGTTACCTTGGCTTGCAGATCTCCAGGGACAGAGCTGCGCGCACCATCACCCTGACTCAGTCACACTTGGTGCGCCAGGTCCTTCAGAGGTTCAGCCTTCAGTTCTCCTCTGCACAGCCCACCCCTCTGCCTGTAGACCACAGACTCTCCGCTCCAGTATCTGAGGAGTTGGTAGAGCCCAGCGGCCCCTACGCAGAGCTGGTGGGTTGCCTCATATACCTGATGACTTGCACTCGCCCAGATCTCGCATACCCTCTCAGCATCCTGGCTCGCTTTGTGGCCACAGGCAGACACCGACCGCAGCATTGGTCTGCCGTTAAGAGGGTTCTGCGTTATCTTGCTAGTACATCGGGCATGGGGTTAGTGCTAGGAGGACGCAGGCCAGTGGTCCTTACTGGACACACAGACGCTTCGTGGGCAGACGACGCTGAGACGCTCAGGTCTACCCAGGGCTACTGCTTCAGCCTTGGCTCAGCTGCCGTCTCGTGGAGAGCTACCCGCTCCTCGTCTGTTGCGCAGTCTAGCTGTGAGGCTGAGATCTACGCTGGTGCCATGGCGGCACAGGAGCTCCGCTGGCTGACCTTCTTGCTCACTGACTTAGGTGAGCGGCCTAGCTCGGCCCCGGTCCTGTTCGCTGACAACAGGGCCATGATCCTCCTGTGTCAGGAGCCTCGACTCGAGGGCAGAGCGAAGCACATTCAGCTGCGGTACTTCCTCCTGCGTGAGCTACAGCAGCGACGCCAGGCTCGCGTAGTACACTTGGCCTCAGGTGCCAACACGGCTGATATCTTTACGAAGGCGCTTGCGCCTAAAGATCATCAGCGGCACTGTGTACAGCTTGGTCTAGTTCTTGTAGCCTCTCACTTGCTAGGACCTTGACTTTGTATTGTCCTTTATATGTATACTCAGACTGGACTCTTGTCCTCTCGCAGTGGCTGGACTAGTAGTGCCGCCCTGCCCTTGTTCTTGCCTTGTTTGTACTCCTTCTGACTGGTCTCTTAGACCCTTGCCTCAGAGGTTGGACTAGTAGTGCCGCCGTGAGGTGTTTGTTTAGGGCATTCCCCTATGCAGTCTAGGGGGTATGTCAAACATGTGTATTTGTCATGTTTGTATAGACTGTATAGGGTCACCTCTTAGAGAGTACAACACTTAGGTATATCTTTGTGTACTCTCACTCTATCATACATTCAATTTTCAATTTGATATGATCATGCGCACGCAGGACAGGGTTCCTACCTATATGTGTGTTGTACTCTCTAGTCTGCCAGTACATGTAAATATGTACGCTAACAAAAAATTATGAAAGCTCAGGCCTGCCCCATGGTGTACTTTTCGGGGGTTTACGGTCTGCCTCTACAGCCACATAAATACCGAGTCCCAACCAGTGTTCCCATCCTGTGAATCAATCGCTCCAGCCGTCGTTCCCAGATGCTCCTGCTGACTAGGCGGAACAACCAGCCTGTCCCTGGTCTCAGCTGTCTCCTGCTGCCACACCACGCTGTCAGCCACGGCGTGAGCGGAGAGTGAGGAGGTGGAGAGCGAGGGAGTGGTGGGCGGTAAGCACGAGAGCAGGGCAGCGAGGTCGAGGGACTCCGAGGGGCCGCCGCTGCGCTGCGCCACGATGAAGCGCGTGCCGTGCACCACTGCCCTGCACGCCCCACTGGCATGCTGCGAGGGTGGAGGGAGACTGAGGAGAGAGTGAGCCTGTGTGAGCCAAGATGAATGCCATGCACCACCACCCTGCACAACCCATTGGCTGCTGGATGGGCAAAGGAGAGGAGAGAGCAGGTGGAGGTTGTTTGCTCCACACTTGCCAAGGCAGAGGGCAGTGGAAAAGCAGAAGCGCAACCATGGAGTGGAATCAAGGACTGGCAGTATGGTGCTGTGGAACTCACCTAGCATTCACCACCGTGATCATAGGGGATGCTCTCAGCTTAGGTCAGTTGGGCAGGGGATGCCACACACACTCAAGGCGAAAGCATGCAGCCATCAACACGGTGCTTTCCTCCAGGCAGGAGGGGCGTGCAGCCACTTACGAAGCAGACGCCAGCAGCAGCAGCAGCTGCACTGGACTAACTGTGGCTGCTGTGACAGTGGCTGCTGTGACAGTGGCTTTGCTGTGGGGCGACTCTCACCTTGAGCGGCGGCAGGGTCAACCACGTGTTGCTGCTGACGTGGTACAGTTCAGCATCTGATAGCGCCTCCCCATTGGACGCATAGCCACCCGCTACTGCCACGTAGGCCTGAAGCGAGAGATGGGAGAAGGATGGCGACCACGCATGTGATGCATGCTGCTAGTGAAATCAAAGCTCTTTACAGCCCCAGTCCCAAGTTGCAAACCGCGGTCAAGGGAGGCTCGGGCTTAGGTATGGTAGCTGGGCTGGAGACCTGGTTTTTGTTCGTGGTTGGCGAACTTCGTGAGCTGTTACAAAACATCATCCCATTGGCCAAAGCAGAAACATAGTGTCGCTATCCTGGTCGCCGAAGCGTGTTGCAATCATTGTATTCCACCCCTCTGAACCGAACGCCTCTCGCCAAAACAGTTGGTGCGATTGCAATTGTCGGGAAACCCATCAGAACAAGCCCAACTCCCATCTACCGCCGAGCAAGTCTCTGAGACTTGCTGGACCTTGCAACTGGGGGTCGGGCTTTAAGAGAAGAGACTAGGACAGCTCGCACTAACATATAAAACTCCGTGCATAATGTGAAAGTACCCCTGAATTTTGCGGCATAAATAAGAGAGGATACAGCTCACCTCAAGTGCAAAACCATGTGCTAGAAACACGGGATAGAGCTCATCTGCATCGCACCCTCCTCCCAGTGCAGGAATGCGCGACATCTCACCTCCCGAGTGGCGGGGTGCACGAAGGCCGCGGCGCCAGACGCGAATCGGGCGGTGGGCATGGGCGCGAGGGCGTGCCAGTGGTCGGTGACGGCGTTGTAGGCGTCCACCTGGTCGTACGCGCGCACCACCTCCCGGCAGAACACGGGGAAGGGCGACCGCCCGCCCAGCACCACCAGCACGGGCTCACCTGGTATGCCTGCCAGATTGCACACATGCGGCACGCAGGCAGCGCAGGGTGCGAAGGGGGGTGGTCGAGGCGGGGAAGAGTTTAGGGCAGTGTGGGGGAAGGGGATGGGCGCTCGCGTCCCTCCCAGGACCAGCAGCATGGGCTGATGGGGTAAGCGCGCATGACTGCATGAATGACGACGTTCGGAGGGAGGGGGGAAGCGGAAGGGAAGGGCACTGGGGGCGCGGAGAGGATGAAGGAGAGATTGTGGATTGGAGGGGCTGACACGATGTTGGAGCCACGGGGCACTCACCGACGGCGCCGTACTGCAGGCGGAGAGGCCCGTCGAGCGGCTTCACGCGCACGTCGCTGGCGTCGTCGCTCGTCCTGCAGCGGCCGCACGGCCGAGTGTCCGCGTGGCAGCAGCTGCCCACGTCGATCCGGTTCACGTCGTTGCTGCTGCTGCTGCGCTGCCGCGCCAGGCTGGGGGGTCAGCAGGGAAACAGAGATGCGAGCGCGGAGACACGGAAGCGTGCGACTTCGGTTCAGAGGAACAAGTGCGAGCGGCGGACAGAGGCACGTGGCGATCGGCCAGCTGACGACTTACGAGTTTTGAGGCGCCTCATAACCGCGAGTAATGAGACGACTTTTGAGGCGCCTCAAAAGACGATCGGCCAGCTGACGACTCACGAGACAACCGACGGCCGCGGTGGGTCAACGGAGAGCACTCACCCGCGAGGCGGCTGCGCGCGCGAGTCGTGGCGGCGGGCCTTGCCGCCGAGCCCCTGGAAGGCGCCCTCGCGGTACTCGTTCTCCAGGTCGACGCGCCACAGCGCGCTCAGACCCTCCGCGCAGCGGATCTGCGGGGGAAAGAGAGGCGCGCCGCGGAGATACGGTTGCGACGATGGAGAACAAAGGGAGCGCGCGCAATGCCGCGGGAATGTGAAAAGGCCGCACACAGCTTCGCCGCTACTACGAAATCGGGGCACCCAGCAGAGGTGCTCGGAGAGAAACGACCGTGCGACTTTCCGACCAGATTCTAGCACAGCGATTCCGCGACGACGGCAGGGAGATACACGCGAAACTTGCGCTTTGGACTGCCCTTGTACCTATCAGAGCTGCGACCCGCATCGGCCAAGGCGATTCAATGAAGACTAGCACGAGCAACGCGGGCAGTACCCACGCCTGAAAAGAGCAGCCCACTCTCGTCGACGTTCATCGCCCGGCGGCCTCACCTTGTGCAGCGTGCGCGGGTCGGCGAGGTCGCGCCACGCGGCGCAAACGGCCTGGAGCGAGCGGTAGAGCGGGAAGGGCACGGCGGCGAGGCACCGCAGCAGAATGTGGTCCGGCAGCGACGCCGCCGGGGCGCTCCCGTGCAGCGACGCGGAGGCAACGGTGCCTGGTGGAGCGAGAGATGCGGTCATGGCGGGCAACGACGCGGACGTGGCGCTGTCTGCGTTGTGAGGTGCTGCTGTCATGGTCGCGAGGCTCTGGTGGGTGTCGGGCGACATGGCTGCGACTCGCGTGCTCGTGCTCGTGTTAGAGGAGAAAATGCTGTGGGTCGGAAAGAACAAGCGAGAGCCAGTGTGGTTGAAGTGCGAAATAAGAGCGGCCGTGATGGGACGAGGGGGAAGGGGGAACGAGGAGCCATGTTGGCTGATCTGGGAATGGGCTCACATGGTGGAGACGACGGAATTGGTTGTGCTCCGATTATGATGCTGGAGCTGATGGGATGTGATAGGCGTGGTACAGTAGTGCTTGATGGGCCGCCTACCTCCCTCCATTCGCTCTCTTGCCGCAGAATACTCGTCTCCAACCTCACGCCTACACCTCCCCTCAAGAGCCATTCAACCTCCCCCTCCCACCCAGTTCAGCCAGCCAGCTGGGGAGCCAACCTGTGCTGCTTTCGTTTCCTTCCAAAGGGCAGACAGAATCGGCAGGTTGCATTCGGTACTGCACCTGCTGCTGCTATGATAGACCCGAAGAAACTTTGATTCCATTCGTCCAGCAGTTTCGCCAGACGACTCGTGAGATCAGTGGCCTGTGGGGCGTTGACGACCCCGAGTCTGGTGCTTGCGAAACGAGAAAACAAGGCAACTGGGAAACGTGAGTGGTCGTGGCGAGAATGGCGAGGCGAGGCGACGTCGCTGATGCGATCAATGGCTTCGCTGACGAACTTGGCCTGTGACCCAAAAGTACTTTTACTCTCCATCTATTGGCCCCCGCGTGGACGGATTACGTGACCGATGCGAAAATCGCATCCGCATTTTCTGTTAGGCAACCGAATTGAAACCCGCAGTGCGACTCGCAGAAATCCGATGCGCGTTGCTGGGACGATGTGATGTGATATTGCAGGGCATGTGGCTGCTGCTCGAATCGAACCGAAGATCCTTGCACAGCCTACAACTGTCGAAGGATGAACGGGAGTAGGCAGGATAAGAGTGGGTTCTTCACCTCGGGTCTGAACCGAGGTTGACCCGCGGTCGAAGGAGCCGTGGGGTTTAGATGCTCAACCTTGGGTCTAGTGACTTTGACGGTCGTACGCCTACAGAGGTGCAGAAAGTCGCAAATCGAGTTGACCATGCAAAGCAAACCGCACAGAGTTGTCGCAAAAGCGAATCGGGAGGTGTACATTGGCGGGCGACTCACTCATGCTACTTGAAGTCCGGTAGATTTGTCTGTTAACTGTGCGTATCCAGTCAAGAAGCCTTCAGGAGTCGTAAGACCCGAGGCACTTTTTTTTCACATCGGGTGTTCCCGAGCTCCATAAACGACTCGGAGGGCGCGTATAAAGTGAGGGAAATTCTGGAGCGAGTGTTAGATCGCGTTCTGAAGTTTGGATGACCATGAAGTTTGACCATCGACTTGCCACGTGAGCATTGGCTTGGCAAAAGTTGCGACTTTGGTTGGCAAAAGTTGGGGCTGGTAAACTTTGACTAACCGCGGTGCCACGCCACAGGCGAAAATTTGGGCGACACGTTCTCGACATTTTGTGAACGGGTGGGCGTCACTCCAAATCAGAGTGTGTGCGAATGAGTTAACGACATTGGATGAAATCCCCTAAACGTCGCATCTGCCAGCGACTCCTGACGGCCGACTTCCGGAGAATTTTGGAAAAGTTGCCTTGCAAAATTCCCACCAGAAGCAAGAGTTAAAACAAGAGTCATACGTAGTTCAACAGTATAAAGGTTGGTTGGGTAGAAAGCCAGGATTGGTTGTCAATCGGCACTCCCATAAAACTCCGAACCAAAGATAGTAACTTTGATACATTTTTCACATGGATTTTACGGCCATCGCTGCAGCAGTGGGTATCGATGAAGGCTCTGCGGGCTACGAGGGGGTTTTGTACTATGGAATTGGCACCCATGCACGTTGGGGTGTTGATAAAGGCTTTGGTGAAGAAGAGCGGAAGCGTTCGCAGTTTGAGGGCTGTTCGTGCGTCGGGCAGGGTGGTCGTGCTTTCTTGGCTTGGTCGGCGTCACATTTTCTTGGCGTGGCCAGCCAAGTCTGCAGAAACCAGGAAGTCGCCCATGGTCGCAACTATTCATGGGTGCCCGTCGCACGAATTCTGCCCAGCAAAGTGTGGTTGGCTAAAACACGAGCTGCATGGCTAAACATTGAAATGTGCAACTCCGACGTGGCGAGCCGCATGGTCAATTTTTCATGGTCGTCCATCCTTCAGAACGCGGCCCTAGACCCTCGCGTTGCAAGTGTAAGATCCGAGGCTGAAAAAAAAAAAAAAAAAAAAAAAAAGAGACGACGCAATCGTCTAAGGGTTGCGGAGCTTATATTATATAGATATACTAGTTCTATATAAATATACATGGTTAGGCTAGTTATCGAAAGTCAAAGCGTTAGTATCTGTTAACACATAACAATGGATTAATACATATACTATGTAAGCATTCAATAGATAATTTGTGTCATAGTGCATCAATAGAAGTACATGAAATCACAATGTAAATGCATCTAATACAATTAGGACATACAATTGACTTTGTACGTATATTTATATTACATACATTTGGGCTTTAACTTGCACGACTTGCGTTACTGTTCTAAAATCGTTCCACGCTGTTTGAATCGGTTTCTTTGTTGTTCGTTTCTGCTTGTACAATATTCTTGAATAGTTTATTCCTTATTGTTCCACTGTATACCTGTTTCCGTAATGTGTCTTCTGTTTTTTGTGCGTTTGAAATGTTTTTTCGCCTTTCCGCCAAATGCCCAGTCGTCGGGAGTTATCGTTTTAATTTTGTTTGATCATGTGTTGACAGCGGCCACTGTTGACTTGTGGCGAGCAAATCTGGCCACCTGGCAATGCTATTTTTTGGCGTAGAAGCAAGGCGCGTCACGCGTAACTGCCAGACGGAATTAGATCCGACGTGGCAATGACACCAGCCTAGCTACACTGGCCACAGAATGCTGATTTTCTTTCCCGTCAATATGAGGCAAAACCCCCGAGCTCGCCACTGGATGCATTACGCGTTACACACTCGAATTTCTAAGTTACACTACCGATAAGTTTTGTTAAATAACACTATTACGCGAATTTCAGTGCGATGGGTCACTTTCTGACCGAAAAACAATCTTTCAGAGCTGCAAAACCGCGGCTGTTTGAACACAGCTCCTCTGCTCGAGGGTTCAGAACTGGAGAAACGTGACTACCTTTTGCTCTATTCTTCCTCCTCGATACCCTAGTCTTAAGATTTGCTCTTCTCCAAGTCCAGCAATTGGTGATGGTAGATAACGTGATTAGGCAGCAACGTGACATCAGCTACTACTGGCTTTCTTATCTCAGCTGTACGATAGAGTTCTCCAGGTCGGTATGAATAGTGGTTTAATGACGTTTTCATGCAGTCGTATCTTAATAGTTTCTCTATGTTTCTTCTCTCATTTTTTCTCAAGCTAGTAGAGGAAACGTAAATACTCGGTACGGATTCTCATCCGCTTTCCTCCTCTATACTCCAAGCTTTCCCCTTCCTTAGCATTGAGTTCTTACTTCTCTCTTCCCATATTTGCATCCTCAGATGGCATCTTGAAGGCACGGTAAGTACAATCCCTTTCCTTCCCTCCATTCACCTCCCCCACCATATCTCTCTCTCTTCCATCTACGCCGCCTCTTTTATTTTCAGTTATTTGTTATTTGTTTGTCCATCCCCTTCAATCCTCGTGCCACCTTCAGTTTCGTTTCCTATCTCAATCTTTCTTGCCCTTTTCATTCAATCTCAGTCCCGATCCGTGTTGCGTACGTTTTCTGTTTTTATCTTACTCTCTCTTTCATTCTGTTATTTTTTTTTTTTTTTAAAACTTCCTGCAGAGTTTCAGCTCGTTGAAGATGCTAACTTGCATCGTTATGGGCAAAGCAACGTGACTTTTCATTGATCTCTGAACCACGTCTATGTTTCAGTGCAACCATTTCAAACTGCTTTCTGCGCCTTGTGTAGTCACTGATCTACTAGTAACAGTAATACACTTTGTGTATTTCAAAAAGTGGAATTGTTTTCATCACTTCAAGTAAGGTTCTTGACTCTCTCTTTGAGTGTAGTCATTTGAACTGGAGGTGATGAGTGCAAACCACTTTTTGGAATTCACAAATTGTGTTGCTTTTTTCTTGTATTTTATTCTTGGCAATGGGCTTGAAGCCTCCCCCCCGGCTAGAGCTGGGGAAGCGATAGCCTAATTTTGTTGTGATGAACTAGGCATTTTGCTTCCCCCATATAGTTGGGGAAGCGATAGCCTATTTTTGTCTCGACAAAAATACGCCACGAGATATGATGTGACATAGAGGCATTTGTCAACTTATACATATTATCTATGTAGAAGTTATAGGCTAGACTGAGGTATGCTTCTAGTGAGTACAACCAACTAGTATTTGTTCTAGGTTTCCACCTCTAGTAATCATTCGTTTCTACGTTAACATGGTATCACGCTTAGTTTAGGATCCCCCCGCCTACCGCTTCCGCCCGTCGCGCCTCCTAGGCCCCGTCGCGCCCCCTAGGCCCCGTCGCGCCCCCCCTGGGCCCCGTCGCGCTCGTTAGGCCCCGTCGCGCCCCCCCTGGGCCCCGTCGTGCCCGCTGGGCCCCGTCGCGCCTCCTAGGCCCCGTCGCGCTCCCCCTAGGCCCCGTCGCGCCCGCTGGGTCCCGTCGCGACCCCTAGGCCCTAACGCGCCCCCGCTGGGCCCCGTTGCGCCTCCTAGGCCCCGTCGCGCCCCCCATGGGCCCCGTCGAGCCCGCTGAGCCCCGTCGTGCCTCCTAGGCATCGTCGCGCCTCCTAAGCCCCGTCGCGTCCCCCCCCTCTGGGCCCCGTCGCGCCCGTTCGGCCCCGTCGCGCCCCTCCTAGGCCCCGTCGCGCCCGCTGGGCCCCTTCGCGCTTCCTAGGCCGCGTCGCGCCTGCTAGGCCCCGTCGCGCCCCCCCTGGGCCCCGTCGCGCCCGTTAGGCCCCGTCGCGGCCCCCCTGGGCCCCGTCGTGCCCGCTGGTCCCCGTCGCGCCTCCTCGGCCCCGTCGCGCCCCCCCTGGGCCCCGTCGTGCCCGCTGGGCCCCGTCGCGCCCCTTAGGCCCCGTCGCGCCCGCTGGCCCCTGTCGCGCCTGCTGTTAGCGCTCGCCCGCCTGGCCTCCTCCTAGTGCCGCTCGGCCTCCTCCTAGTGCCGCCCGGCCTCCTCCTAGTGCCGCCCGGCCCCTTCCTAGCGCCGCCCGGCCTCTCCTCAGCGCTGCCCGGCCCCTCCTCGTGCCCGACCGGCCCCAGCAGCACCAGCCTGGCCCCTCCCAGCACCAGCCCGGCCCCAGAGCACCTGCCCGCCTCCCCTGCTC